CCAGTGCCTTTTGCAGTTTCTAAACTGGTCTACTTGTGAAGTGTCCATAAATTGGAAAAGGTTCACGACAACCATTATTATCTGTGTCTTGTCTCGTGCCTGGTACCTTCCTGTACAAGACAACTTTGTTACTTAGCTATCAGTGAATAAACTTGTTTAGATGGGGACAAAGTATCTGGCTTTTTTCACCCCTTAGGAAACTTTGAGCTAAAGTTTGTTCCATTCGTAGGACTACGGTAAGATGAGGAAGGAGAGACTCATATAGAGAATGTTATCCTTCTCATAGAAGCTCATATGTGCTGGCTGGACCGAAGGTAAGTTATTTTTGCAGAGAGATCTAAGGAGGCATCACCATGTGCAGTTGCTCATCCAGCTGGAAGGGCTGATGTGCTGAACACTCTAACTGAGAACAGAGACTGACTCTGCAGTCAGTAAAGCTGTTACCCCACAAAAGTGGGACTGGAAGTCAGGAGTCCCCACTCTCAGCATTCTTCGCTGTTTTGCAAATAGCTGGTCTTACGACAACTTTCTAGCAGATCTGCCAAAGAAAATCATTTATAAGTTATCCTTTACCTCATCTGATGGAAAAAAGCAGATAGAAGCAGTCTGCACAGCTGGGATCCTCATAAAGGATGGTCTAACCAGGTGTCACATGAACAGAATTTTGCCTTTCAGTTTTAATGTTGTTAAAAAGGTTAAAATTTTAGAGTTCTGGATATACCAGGATTCCTCTCTGCTCTTCCTTGTATGTTCTGTATTTATTGCTATTGCATCTTTATTTTTTTCTCCCAGGGAAGCCTTACTGGTTAGAATAGACCCGTTTTGGTGAACACTCGAACTGTGCAACTGTGTGGTGAAGATGGTTCTTTCCAGTTAGACTGTGTGGTGGACGAGGCAGACGAAAGGCCGGGTGTGTTCTCACAGCTGAGGCAGTTTTGTGTTGCGTCTGGAACTGGAGTCTCATCTTGCCTCTGCCACAAAACTTCTTCCTGGTCAGGCCATGCATACACGCACCCATGGCCCCCACGGGATCTCCAGGTTGAAGCAGAAACAAAGGTTGCAGGCAGGGAGAGTTTCCAAGTACTGTCCGGTCGCAGGAGGGCCCTGCTCCCTGTGCGTGTTGTGCTGTGAGCACTCAAGTTGGGTTCTTGGCTTAGTCTTAGTTCCCGGTGTGTTAAGAGAGTCAGAACGTTGTCACTTTGTAAGAGGTTGTACAGTTGTTATAACACCCCCCTTGTGGATGCGCCTGCCACTGGGCACATTGTGAAAAAGACAGATACAAAGTTGTTGTGCAGTTCAGGCCTAACTAAGCCACAAAACTGTGAACAGCCATTCAAGGCAGCGCATGGGGTTGGGGGCTTGCGGGAGGAAGAGTGTCATTTTATTTTTTTCCAGCGATGATTATCTGTGCAGATATGAAGTGATATAAAGTCACAAAAGTACCCGTGCTTCTCTTGTTTGGAGAGGTTTGGCTTGGTAACTCAAATACAGTCCCAAGACCGAACACTTGAGATAATCAAGCCTAGGTACTTTGTGCTTTTAAGGAGCATCTAAGAGTACTCAAATGACTTTGTTAAAACCACTTTTCCTGACAGATGCACTCAGTCTGCAAATTTATGTTTTGGCAATTCAGCTGAAATACTGAAACATTACATGCGAGAGGAATGGGAACTTAGGTTCTTGAGCATAAGCATTACACTCAAATGAGGGGAAAAAAAACCATTTGTCTGAAGGGGTGAAAAGTCTTTGCTAGAAAAATTACAATTAAAGTGTAACCTAATTGCCTGTTACTGGAACTGAGTGGTGCTTGCTGCATAAAGGTTTTAACGTACCATTTCTATAATAACCCTGGGTAAGTCAGTCAGGAGATGGGTGCTGAGGAGCTGTTCCACCACGTACTAGACTTTTGTCACTAAGCCCTTCTGCTGACCGATTCGCTTCTGTGAGCAGGGCTGATGGTTCAGACCTTCTCAGCAGTTCAGAGCAGTGGGAGCTGAGCTGTTCCAGAGTCAACACCTCCCAGGTATGACCTGTTCTGAGGAGACAGCCTACTCTTAAGAGGAACTGCTCCTTAGGTTCCTGTGGCACTAATAACATAATTTATGGGAAAAGGATGGGTTTGTAGCAGATGTTTTCCCTCGCTCTGCCTGATTCTATTCTCCTCCCCCTGTATGTGTTTGATGTATTCAACAGGAGTCCAGTATCACACTCGGAAATACTGGTTTAGGGTGAAGAGAGAACCATAAGCTACTGCAAATGCAAGTGCACTTCTAGCCTAAGTTTAGTCATTGTGGCTTGTTAATGCTGCTTCAAGAGCTTTTAACAAAATCCTTAGGTTATGTTCCTGAGTCAATCCACTGGAGTAACCTGATTTTGAAAAAGGTGATAAAATAGCAGTTGTATAGTAGTTCCTGAAAACATGTTTAGAAGGAGAAGTTGCTGAGGAAAAAAAATCACCTCATCCTCTGGTAAGAGTCAGAGATAACATTCTGGAGATGACAATCTACAGACCTGCAGACTAGGAATAGATTAAAACAAACCAAAACAAAACGAACCAAAAAACTTTGACCTTAGAGGACAATTAAGACATCTCACCCAATGCTAATTCACTCCTTGCAACTTGTACTGGTAAGAATCGGGTAATAGGATAAGGTGGACAGTCTAGGAATAGAGAAATGTTGTGAACCTTACTTTAGTTTCTCATTCTGCTACAGCTTCCTGTGACCTCAGATAAAGTTCAGCTAGTTCCTCTTTCACATAAATACCTTATAAATAAATGTATTCCTATACAAGTATGTAAATACCTTTTTGCAAAGGGGTAGAAGGTAACATGAAATATACCTGCCAGGTATATTAAAATCATGCCAGGTAACTTAAGGAGAACCAGAAGAATCATAGAACAAATAGTAGTGCTGTTTCTAAGTTTTAGACAGTGTCACAACTATCCAAGAAGGAGCTGGGAAAACTGAGGGAAAATTTCATCATCAGTCAGAAAGGCACCAAGTAGCTAAGTACTCAGCATCTTTTTAACTGTCAAGGAAATTTCACCAAATTAATAGTCAGCACAGAAGGGATCCGTCCTGTCCTTGCTTATTAAAAGAGACAAAGCTAAATCTCTCCCTGCACCAGTCCTGCACACAGCCGGGCCTACTCACTAGAAAACTTTCCTTACAAATGCATCATTATTATCTCAGCTTTACACTAGCACATCCATAGATGAAGACCTCTCTAACATCACTAGTACAGCAGTTGGAAATAACGTTCACAGACCAATTATTTTTTTTTTTTATTTGAGTAGAAGATGTACATATTTATTAAGAGACACAATTCCACTATTTTCCACAGTGTTTATGGTTTTGTCAGTTTTCTTCTGAGTTTCTTCTGTCATCAGAAAACTACCCTTGCAAGTTCAAACAGAACCTGTGGAATAGCAAACACATTGATAAGAATTTGTATTTGATTTAATAATCCTTAAAACAGCTTACACTGTAAACAAGATAATCTAAAAAATAACCATAGCTGCAAGTCAAAAGTTACTTGCAAAGAGCTAAAGACTAATCCCCTTGTCCAGTACATTACATTAATAAAATAATCTTGATTCTCAAATTATATATTCGAATTGCGCTTGTTATTACATTTTCAGTGTGGCAGTGGAAAAAAACCAACCACCAACCTCTATGGTGATGAGTATTACTATCATCCACTCGAGGCGCAGAGTGTGCTTTTCATTCAGGTGATTTCGCATTAGGTCTGTCAGATCCATGCAGTGCTGAAGCTTTTCATTCATTACCTGCAGGAGATTCCAAATACATGGCAAATCGGGATTCCGTAAGTTGAATGAGATCATTAAATAAAGGAACACAATCCACAGAAAGGCTCACTGAACAGAACTAGAAAGGTGCTATAAAACTCTTTTGTGAAAGAACAGAACAGAAAGTCCTGTAAGGCAACATGCACAAGCAACAGAAGTTTTCAAGGCAAAGGAGCCTGTTATTTCAATAAGTTCACAAAAATAATAGAAATTTAGATATGCATCTGCAGGTATTAAACTGCTTCTGGGTGTTATCTACTCATGAACACAAGCACAAGCAAAAGATGATGTAGCTTATGGAAATGCCTCTAAAGGAACTAAATCCTTAATACCACCAGAAGAGGTGGTTTTCATGCTGCTTGTTCTGG